CTTGATCAACTTACTGCGTGTGTGGACCTATGAGCAAGGTGAAGAGTGCTGGCCCTTGCGACATTTCCATCCTCTTGTCACACTTTCTGTCACATTAGATCCTCATAGGCCCCTCTATACCAGGCCACTGCGATGGACAGAACACATGAGGCCCCTGATGTCCGGCAGGGTCACAGGCATGGTGCTGTGTCACATAATGTCAGACAGCTATCATCCTGGTGTTACAAGTGAGGGAACTAAAACTCAGACCGGTTAAGTGGCAGAGCTGGAATCTGGCCCCAGTCTGTCCAGCTCCCAGAGCTCATCCTCGCCATCTCCTGATACAGTTGGTTGGCACACAAATGACTGCTGCAGGTGACAGCTCCCATCACGTAGGCTTGTTTCTCAAAATGTGTTAAAATTCCAACTATTTTAAATCTAAACCATCTTAAACTACTCGCTAACTAAAGATTAAAGTGAACGACTTGAGTTTTACCACTGCAAGAACTACTACACACTAGGTGAAGCAGAAGTAAGCTGGTTGTTGGGTTATTTTTAACTTAATAAAGTAACCATTACGGTAAAACAGCTGCACTGTGTTCTCAATGTCTACAAATCAGTGATAAAAATGTATCTCAATTTACCAAAGGAATGCACATTGTAGTTTTTAAAGAAAAACACATAGCGGACATTAAAAGTTATTAATTTGTAGGCTGAGCACTTTTCGAAGTGCAAAGCGCTTCCACCCCTCTGCTATGGATCTGCCATTACACGTCCCCCACTCCTGGGTCCTGGAATCCAGCCACCCTAGACCCCGGTTCTTAGCTCTGCTGACAAGTGCTCAGAGGCTCAGAAGGCGTTTCAGCACAACTCTGTGGCCCTGGGACTAGAAAACACGCCAGACCTCACTAGCGGCTCTGCTCAGGTCTTCAAACAAGACATCTCTGTTTTATCTTCTCCTACTGGCAGCTCTATCCTCCTTCACATCTCATCCGGAGCTGCTCTTTGGGCACTGGGCCTCGGACACATCTCTCAGTGGTTTCTTCAGCCACCTCACCCTGGTGATAAACAGCATTTCCATTCCTCCTAATCCTGCTCTCACCTCCGCCCGCCTTATAATACCCACCCTCCACCCCACAAACACTTTTTTTTTTTGGAGGAAGATTAGCCCTGAGCTAACTGTTGCCAATCCTCCTCTTTCTGCTGAGGAAGACTGGCCCTGAGCCAACATCCATGCCCATCTTCCTCTACCTCATATGTGGGACGCCTACCACAGCATGGCTTGCCAAGTGGTGCCTGCCCGCACCCGGGATCTGAACTGGCAAACCCCCGGCCGCCAAAGTAGACCGTGTGAACCTAAGCACTGTGCCCCCAGGCCGGCCCCCACACAAACACTTCTTATACCCCCACTCCCTCCCTGCTCTCCAGCCCCACACCCGGCCTCCTTCCTCATCCTCCCAATGGTCCTGTTCACTGCCCTCCATCCCCATGAATGTGACACTGCAGGTGGCCTTCTCCTCTTTTGGCACTCTCCTCATTCCTCTCTTTATGTTACTGCTATTCTTTGAGAACCTCAGTTCTGGCCCGTCTCCATTTCTGAGCAGAACCAAGTCACTGCAAGTTCCTTCAGTTCTTTTCTTGGAGTCTCCACATGGAAAGCTCCTGAAGCCACTGTCTGCTTGCCCCTCTCCAGCTCTCACCTCAGAGGATGCTGTGTCTGATTTAACGAAACAGTCTTCAAATGTGACATTACTGAACTTAATCTGCAAGTGAAAATATCCCACACAAAAAAAGGTGATGTTGCTGTATCACTAAGTGATAGGCAGTTAATTTAGCACAGGAACAAGATTACTTTTCTAAATAAACACAATTGCAGTTCTGCATGTTAACTAGTTTTGGGCAATAGTACATTCAACTTCTTCTATTTATGTTGGTGTATTAGTATTCCAGGATCTTACTGATCAAATCTTGTCAGATTCACTCCACGTTTCCAAGTATAAACAACTGTTAAAGAGTTGTTTATTTTTACTTATAAATTATACCTAGTTTGCTACCACGGCACCAAGATCTTCCTAAAACACTTTACTGCTCACTCAGGCCCCAGACCAGGTCCTCATGAGGACCCTGTCCTCCAACTGGACATTCTTCACTCTATTGCTGACCACTGTGGAAATGCTCCCCTACCAGGTCCAAACCTCATGCTCCACAACCCACCCCAAGGTCCCTTCCAGCCTGAATTTCAGCTTCTACAGGGCCGGGTTGCCGGCTCAACCACACCCACAAAGCTACCTCCACCTGCCCACTTCCAGGAGCCCCATCCAGGTGGCCCAGGGCTCTCCCACCGAGCCTACCCCACAGAAGCCCCACCCTAGTCCCAATAACACCTGTGCTTCCAACAAGTCAGACACTCCCAGAGAGGAAAAAATTGCATTTCTGTACACAAAGCCCTGCATATTTGGCCAAAAATCAACGATTTGTGGAAATCACTTGTCTTCTGGAAAACCACACACCCTGATACTCTTGTGCATACACAGCACCCCTCTACACACCAGTCCACGCTGGGCATGGGGCTCACCAACCACTGTGGAAAAGGCACTTGTATTCAGATCTTACCCAAACCACTTACAATACTCACGACAGCCAACGTACAGCATTACAGTCCTCATCTTTCCCTATTCCCCCAAATTAATACATTATTTAGTATTAACAAAATGATGAACTACACCTTAAGCCTAAATTACTTATGTACTCTTCCAAATTCTCTTTTTGTAAACTTTTAATACTAACTACAAAATGTAAACTCACTTTACAGTTGGAATTAGAATAAAACCACTGTCATTCAAATAAGAGACCAACCATGGATCGTCACATTTTTTTAACTCTACAGTGATTTTCAATTCAGTAGGCAAATCTGAAATAAGCAATATTTCAACCTCCGCATAAGTGCTCTAAATTACATGCACTTTCAAAGGTATACAACTTGTTTTTTTAACTTAAAAGAACTTGTAACATAACACTGAGTTTAATTTCAAGAAAAAGATTTCTAAAACAATTTATCTACCTTTAGCTCTACAGAGTTTATTCTGTTAACCTGTATCTATTACCACCCTACACCAAATATTTGTGTAATGATGCCCTGCAAGAAGGCGGTGCTGCAAAGTCCTACTAGTTACCCACTTACTTCACACTGTAAAAACGCCAAAAGCCCTTCTGTGGAAAAAACCACGCCCCTCTGCCAGTTCAGGCAGAAGCTCCCAGGCCCATGAGAAGTCGGGGGCTCGTGGCAGCCTTGCGGGCCCAGGGACTCTTCCCGTGCACAAGCTAGAGGTGAAGGTCAGAGGCCCAGCCTCCACCCCACTGTCTTTCTTACTCATCTCTTCCACAAGGCTCACTCTACCCCTCAAAAAGTCTGAATATTGCTCCCTCCCGAAAGGTCAACTTATTTCCATGTTTAACACCTCAACACAAATGGTTTTGGCTGAATGGTAATAAGAAAATTTTCTTTAAACTTCAAAATCCTGAGTAAAGATATAACATCTTTTGTTGTGGACATTAAAAGTTATTTGTAAACAACAAACCACCAGATTAAAAAGCAACTGTCAGGGCCCTACCATCAATTTTATGTAGTCTACACCATAAACACACATCAACAGCGTTTCGGCTTGAAAACAACATTCTTTGCAATGCTCCCATCAAGGCTGAAGGAACTAGCTGGTGCAGCTTTGCAGCCGTCTACGCAACAGCACAGCACACGGGGACAACGATCAAGGATTAAGAAACGCAACAGCTCTTAGCATCTCCAACTACGGAAAGCAGTTAAAAACCCCATTTTGTGGACAACGGCTCTACTTGCAATGATCTAGAAAGGAGCCCCGAGGAATAATTAGCATTTCCTAGAGAGCAAGTGTGTTTTTCAAGCCGAGTAAACGATAACGCCATAAAACCATAGAACTAAGCTGAATCGTTTTGTAACAGACTTGACAGTTCCCCACGAGACTCAATTAACACTCTATATGACCTTACAATAACTTCTAAATAATCAACTGACTTCTAAAAAAAAGTTATAAGTATCCAGTTTTCCCAAAATTTTAAGGCTCAGAGCACAGATTTAAAAATTCATCATGCTTGAAGAGTTTTCAACTTTTACGTTACCAAAAATACAACGGGGGAAAAGAAGTCCTTGTAGCTTAAAAAATGCACTCTTGAAATAACTCATTATTGAAAACGTATAGAACAAAAAGGAAATAAGAGACACTCCATCACCAGTCAAGAAGATACAGATTTTAGTCTCGGATAGCTCCAAGGGCTAGACTTCAGCGCCTGTTCTGTACCACCAACACGCCGCTTAGGAAAAATACATGCAAACTCCCAGAGCGCACAGACGACTCCAGAAAACCTGGCCACGTGCACGGCCGCCCGAGCCTCCAGCTTTGGGAAGGTGAGGGTAGGGGGTCGCGGGCAGGAATCCTGGCGTGGGTCAGGGACGTGAGGGCTGGAGACTGGGGTTAGTGGGCTGGGATCTGGCCAGGATGATGGGTCGGGGTCCGGTCAGAGGGATGAGGCCAGGGGTCGTGGCCTAGATTCTGGTTGTGGGAAGGATGGACAAGGCCACGGTTCAAGGTCCGGCTGGGGTCCCGAGTTTGGGTCCCGATCTGAGTCCTACTTGCGGGCAGGACCGAGGCTGGGAGTCACGGGCCGGGGGATGGGTTCTGGCTGGGGGTCAGAGATCACGGTGGGGTCCCGGTGGTTCGTGGGCGGCGGGTCTGGGGCCCGGCAGTCGACCGGGGGGGTGGTCACCAACTGCGTCTGACTCCCGGCACCGGGCCCCGGCCTCGGTCCTCCGGGCCGTGGGTCGGCGCCGGTCTGGGTCCTGGGTCTGGGTAGGTCGGGGTGGCGGGCCAGGGTCTGGGCCTGCGTTCGGGTGAGGGGTCGTGGTCCTGGTCCCGGGGCGGGTCGGGGTTCCGGGTCCCCGGCCAGGCCGCAGCCCCCGCCCGCCCGCGCGCCCGGCCGGCCCCACTCACACGCGCGGCAGCTGCAGCGGCGGCGCCCCGCGCCTCTGGAACACGCCGTCCACGAACACGCCGTTCTTGCCGAGGCAGCGCAGGTAGAAGTCGCCGCCGGCGTCGGGCCCGGGCTGCGCCGAGGGCTCGGGGGCCGCCCCGCCATGGCCGCCGCCCGGGGGCGTGAAGATCTCGAGGTGGCGCCGCGAGATGAAGCTCGAGTGGCCCATGCTCACGTCCACCGAGCCCTGCGACGAGTTACGCCCGATGGTCACCGAGCGCTTCTTCATCAGGTACTCGAACTCGCGGCCCTCGAGGCGGGCCACGGCCCAGCCGCCCGCGGGACCCGCCGCCCGCGCCCCGCCGCCCCGGCCCCGCCGCCCGCGGAGGCCCGCCCGCGCCGGGAGCGCCGCGGCCGCCGCCATGGGCCTGCGAGGCCCGGCCGCCTTCCGCCGCCGCCGCCGCCGCCGCCGCCACGGAGCTGAGGGCCGAGCGAGGCCGCCGGCCGGCGAGCGACGAGCGGCGGCGAGGGGCGGGACACGCGCGGCGCGGCGCGAGCCGGCGCCGGGCCGCTGACGGACGGCGGCGCCCGCCAATGGGGGCGGCGCACGGCAGTGGGGCTACGGCGGCGGCCAATGGCGAGGCGCGCCGGCCCAGCGCCGCACGTCCGGCCGCGGCGCCCGACGCAGGCGCGGCTCCCGGCGGCCAGGAAAACCCGGGGCGGAGCGCGGCCGGCCGCGGAGCCGCCGAGCGGCCGGGGCGGGTGGGGGTGCTGCGCCCTCGGTCCCCGCGGGGCGGCTGGGCCGGCGGGCAGGGCGAGCCCGCGGACCCCGCACAGCCTCGCGCGGAGCTGGACCTGCCCCCGCCAGGCGTAGTCAGTGTCTCCGGGCCCGCACGCACACAGCCGACACGCTGTGCGCGCTGCAGCTCAGCTAAGCCATTGGGAGACCCCGAGCCAGGGTGTCGGCGGCCCCGGAGCCTGACCATCGCGAGAGCGCGCGGCCTCCCGGGATGCGCACGCGCGTGGTGGGCCGCGGCCGGGAGGCGGGGAGCGGGCGGGAGCGGGAAGGAGGGGGATGCGGGCCGCGGGAGGAGGGAAGGCGGCGGGGTCCCGGCGCGGCCCGCCGACCCTAGGGAAGCGCCGAGGGAGCCGCCCGTGCGGCTCGGGCGCCGGCGGAGTGGAGCGCGGGGCGGCCGCGGCGGAGGGCCCGGGCGGGAGCCACGTGGGCCGCCCCTGTGTGGAGACTCACTCTAAAGAAGTGGAAACTCGTGTGTCCCTCTGAACGTGCGTTTCCATGTTTTATTTCCCCTAGATGTGTTTGCATTGACAGTGCAAGTTCCTGCTGTTTAAACTGCTTTGAATCGTGGGTATGCCGGCGTGTCCTAGACAGACACAAAATCGTCTCATTAAATATTCATTTATATATTGGAGAGATTTTGAGGTGGTGTTGGGACAGGTATGGAAATGCTAAGTAGGGAAACCTCTCATTTAAAAACAAAACACAGTCGATCAAAAGAAGGAGCTTGTGATCAAGTACAACCAGTGTTTCAAGTCACTGTTGACAGAGTGACTGTGGGATGTGCCGTCCCGGTGCTCTGTGCCCTCGCCTTGTGCTGAGCGCACACAATCCAGGACATCCACCACTCTACCTGGCTTTCGGGAGCTTCCTTGTGACGAGGTGGTTGGCGTGTGGAGTACGTGCTGTGAGCTCTTACCAAATTTATACAGGGCTCCTGGGAAGGCTCACTTCCTTTTCACATGTTTTCATCAATACTGAGTGTCCACCCTGTGCACGGAACTCAGGCCTGCAGATGTAAAGAGGATGAGCTTGTAGCATCGCACTGATCTCGCTCCATTATGTCCCTACTATGTAGACACAGGCACCTTGAAAAAAGATGGGCAATGCCAGGCTGTGTGCAAGTAGAAATAGTAAGGACCACGTAGTTCTGAGAAGGGAAGCAGTCACTGAGCACTGGGACAGTCGGAAAAGGCTCCAGAGCAGAGGCAGGGTTGCACCAGGCCTTCCATCCATTCCGAATGCCCAGTAAGCATCCATGTCCACCACGCATAGGCCGGGGCTGGACAAACAGCAGTGAGCAAACCAAGCACCATGTCCCATCAGCGTGTGTAAAAGAAAGAAACAAGCAGGCGAGCCCCGTCATGACTGAGGGGAGAAGCAGCACCAGAAGATGCTCACGAGGTAGGCAGTGTCGCTGCTCTTTACATCAGGAGCGAAGGCAGAGATGGAAGAGACACACCGAGACCCAGGCTTTACAAAGGATAGTTCTTTCATCTGGGAGAGGTGTGCCAAACATCTAGTACATGCTGGACACGGGTGCAGGAAGACAGCTGAGAGTACGACCAAGGGGCCCCTGCCTCGTGGTGCTTATGATCTGGCGGGAAGACCCACAGCACACCTGTGAATTAGTACCGAAGAGCGGCACGTGCTGTAAAGCGGAGTGAAGGGACCAAGAGATGGGCAGGAAGGCCAAAGGAAGAGACGTCTGACCTGACACCTGAAGAACATGCGCTGGAGGCCACAGTGACCTCTGGGCAACACACAAGGGCAACAGCCCTGAGGCAGGGAGATGCTTGGTGTGTCAGAGCCGTGAGCCGGTGAATGAGGGGAGGAAAAACAGCTAGGGAGTGTTGCACAGGGCTTGCTACCTGCTGGGCTCCGCGTTAAGTGAAATGGGAAACCACTGGGCATTTCAAGCAGCATAACATGATCCGATTTAACTTTAAAAAAAAATCAACGTGGGGCGGGCCTCGTGGCCAAGTGGTTAAGTTTGCACGCTCTGCTGCAGGTAGCCCAGTGTTTCATTGGTTCGAATCCTGGGCGCGGACATGACACTGCTCATCAGACCACGCTGAGACAGCGTCCCACTTGCCACAACTAGAAGGACCCACAACGAAGAATATACAACTATGTATCAGGGGGCTTTGGGGAGAAAAAGGAAAAAAATAAAATCTTAAAAAAGAAATCAACCTATTTGCTATATGGGACAAAATTGAAAACAGGTCCATTTGTGTCTCTTGTGATGAGTCAGGCTACAGAAAAGGTAGCTGGACCCACTGTCCTCAGAGCTTTTTACATATGTACCCAATAAACTAATTTTGTGAAAACTTGTAAGCCCCCACCTCTAAGATAATAGCCAAGTTTTCCATCATGTTTAAATAGTTGCAATGGGTGTAATTTCCCAAATATTATAAATACTGATTTAAAATAAAGCCATGACCCAGAGCAATCTGGCAAGAAAAAGGAATAAAAGGAATCCAAACAGGGAGGGAAGAAGTGAAACTCTTGCTGTTTGCAGACGACATGATCTTACATATAGAAAACCCCAAAGAATCCATTGGAAAACTTTTAGAAGTAATCAACAACTACAGCAAAGTTGCAGGATATAAAATCAATTTACATAAATCAGTAGCATTTCTATACTCTAATAATGAACTAACAGAAAAAGAACTCAAGGGGCTGGCCCCGTGGCCAAGTGGTTAAGTTCGCGCACTCTGCTGCAGGCGGCGCAGTGTTTCATTGGTTCGAATCTTGGGCATGGACATGGCACTGCTCATCAAACCACGCTGAGGCAGCGTCCCACATATCTCAACTAGAAGGACCCACAACGAAGAATATACAACTATGTACTGGGGGGCTTGGAGAGAGAAAGGAAAAAAAAAAAAAAAGAACTCAAGAACACAATATCATTCACAATAGCAACTAAAAGAATAAAATATCTCGGGGTGAATTTAACTAAGGAAGTGAAAGACCTATACAATGATAATTACAAGGCTTTTCTGAAAGAAATGGATGACGACATAAAGAGATGGAAAGACATTCCACACACATGGATTGGAAGAATAAACATAGTTAAAATGTCCATACTACCTAAAGCAGTCTACAGATTCAACACCATCCCAATCAGAATCCCAATGACATTCTTTACAGAAATAGAACAAAGAATCCTAAAATTCATATGGAGCAACAAATGACCCCGAATTGCTAAAGCAATCCTGAGAAAGAAGAACAAAGCCGGAGGCATCACAATCCCTGACTTCAAAACATACTACAAAGCTACAGTAATCAAAACAGCACGGTACTGGTACAAAACCAGGTGCACAGATCAATGGAACAAAATTGAAAGCCCAGAAATAAAACCACACATCTATGGACAGCTTATCTTTGACAAAGGAGCTGAGGGCCTACAATGGAGAAAAGAAAGTCTTTTCAACAAATGGTGCTGGGAAAACTGGAAAGCCACATGTAAAAGAATGAAAATTGACCATGCTTTCTCACCATTCACCAAAATAAACTCAAAATGGATCAAAGACCTAAAGGTGAGACCTGAAACCATAAGGCTTCTAGAAGAAAACGTAGGCAGTAAACTCTTTGACATCAGTATTAAAAGGATTTTTTCGGACACCATGTCTTCTCAGAGAAGGGAAACAATAGAAAGAATAAACAAATGGGACTTCATCAGACTAAAGAGCTTCTTCAAGGCAAGGAAAACAGGATTGAAACCAAAAAACAACCCACTAACTGGGAAAAAATATTTGCAAGTCATATATCTGACAAAGGCTTAATATCCATAATATATAAAGAATTCACACAACTCAACAACAAAAAATCAAACAACCCGATCAAAAAATGGTCTGGAGACATGAACAGACATTTCTCCAAACAAGATATACAGATGGCCAATAGGCACATGAAAAGATGCTCATCATCGCTGATCATCAGGGAAATGCAAATCAAAACTACACCAAGATATTACCTTACACCCATTAGAATGACAAAAATAACTAAAACAAATAGTAACAAATGTTGGAGAGGTTGTGGAGAAAAAGGAACCCTCGTACACTGCTGGTGGGAATGCAAACTGGTGCAGCCGCTATGGAAAACAGTATGGAGATTCCTCAAAAAATTAAAAATAGAACTACCATATGACCCAGCTATTCCCCTACTGGGTGTCTATCCAGAGAGCTTGAAGTCAGCAATTCCTAAAGTCCTATGCACCCCAATGTTTATTGCAGCATTATTTACAATAGTCAAGATGTGGAAGCAACCTAAGTGCCCATCAAAAGATGATTGGATAAAGAAGGTGTGGTGTATATATACAATGAATACTACTCAGCCGTAAAAAAGAACAAAATCGTCCCATTTGCAACAACATGGATGGACCTTGAGGGAATTATGTTAAGTGAAATAAGCCAGTTAGAGAAGGGCAATCTCTGTATGACTCCACTCATATGAGGAATTTAAACATGTAGACAGAGAGAACACATTGGTGGCTACCAGGGGAGAGGTGGGGTGGGGGGTGGGCACAGGGGGTGGAGTGGTGCACCTGCAACACGACTGACAATCAATAATGTACAACTGAAATTTTACAAGTTTGTAACCTATCATTAACTCAATAAAATAAA